GAGGAGAGATGAAACATTTCACTAAGGAAGAACCCATCCAGAGGACCTACTTATTTTTTCTTTTTGAAATGTATTTAAAACCTCAGAAACTGCTATTTAAAGAATGGGTTGAATTCTTCATAACTTCAACTAGTAAATTTTGCAAAACAAAAACAACAAAAAAAAAGCGAAAATCACTATTTTTTCCAAAAATAATACGTTTTCCCTTTTTTCTCACTTTGTGCTTTAGCGACTTGTTGCTGGTCTTCCCGTGGTGCGTCACATATGTTTTGCACTATTTTTCATTGGCACAATTTTTGGCACATTCGTGACGGGCTATAGGTTGAGTGTTTTATAACCCAGACTGGGTATTTTATACTGATTTTCTGATGCTGTTGTCCATACTGTACCATTCTCTACGCAATGTTTTATCCTGCTATATCCTTGTCAGATGTCAAATTACTGTAACTGACAGATACATGTTTTATTGACTTTTAGAAAACGTCAATACGAACCTGTTTTCGATATTCCACATCTCCTGGCTTGATTTTTGTCTGATTTCCACATGTAAAAAAGATCTTGTGGTCTTTTAGGATTTATCCAACATTAACAAAACCTTAATAAAGCATGAATACTCTTCACTTTAGAAGGATTCACAAATACACTTGAGTAACTACTAGCAACTGCCTTTATTAATGATGCACTGCAGGATTAATCAACAGTAAATTCAAACATTCTTTAACAATACATGCGTAACACATGGTGAAAGTACAAMTATTTGAGCATTTACAAATCATCATGAGTTATTAAGCATGAATGAACATTGAGTATGTTGGWTTTGGAACTGATTTTTATGCGTAAAACATTAATAACTGTGTTAACAAATAGTGTATTAAGTGTGAATCATCCTTAATTWATGATGTTTTCATGTGTAATTAACTGTTTATCAATGGGTAAATAAGGCTYAATAAGGCATAGTTATTATAAAGTGTTACCACAAATAGTGTTTTATGTTTCTGTGACTAAAAACCCACTGAAAGAGGTGTGGGGGTCTTGTCCCCAAACATGTGCCTTTGCTGGCAGCTTAACAAACACCTGGTCCCCTTGTTGCAGTGGCAGGAACACAYCGTTTCCTCCGTTATCAGCTGWGTCTGACTCTGAACGGTGATCATGGYCAARGATRATCAACTCAGCATTCTTGTAAAGAWKCAGRWTTGATTTATGTMCTCCTCCAGCGTGATAGAAGAAACTGAAGWAATAAARACCTGCAACTGGTGCAGTGAAGATACCTGTGAAACACACACACTTGTTCTTATTAAATACTGTTAAGGGGGTTATATAACAGRAAAAARAGTTTTCAGACAGAGTCAGTTGAYACATTTATTTAGACTGAAGACTGTTTTTATTTATGTCCATTCTGTGTTCAGTGTTCAAACAGACAATATCATTTAAACCCTGGCTGTGAGCTGTCCAGTGTAACAATGATGCAGTGTA